TTATCTTTATTATTTAAATTTGGGACTAGTTTATTCTCATTAATATTGCCTACACAAATGTTTTCTGGACATAAAGGAAAGTCCGAATGTAAATCATGAAGTTCATCTGGATATTCCAAATCAACTTCTAAAATAAAACCGAAGTCTGATGTCTTAGACACATTAAATTCTGTATTTGGATTTACCCATTCGAATCCACCAGTAGGAAGATATTGAGACATAGCCCAACCATATAAATTGTTGGCATCAAAATATGTGATATATGAATTTGGTTTCCCTGTATCATAATCCTCCATGTATTTGTTATTAGCTCTAGCATAACGATTACTACATTGAGATACACCACCTCTGATACCTGATCTAATAAATGCAATTTTCTCATAATCTGTTAAAAGTTCTAATTCTATTTTTGTATATTTTAACATTGCATCCCAACTTAAACCGGGTGCTGTGTAATAATGGACAGGGTCTAAATCATATGTATTAATACATAACTTTCTAAAGTTTTCAAATACATCGGATAAAAGTAAAACGTCTGTTTTTAAATACAGGTTTGAATAATCTAGCATCATTTGAAATATGTGAATCTGTGAGTGAACTATAAAAACATTTTTGTTCAGGGAGCGATGTTAGACTTAAACTATCATAATTAGTCATAAGTTCATATGGATAAACACCTTTCCGTTTTAAACGAAAGAAATCTTCATCATTAGGGTAATTTCTACGTAATTCTTGAAATTGATCATTACTGAGATTTTTGGCCAATTCTTCTAATTTACACGATAAAAACTTAAATGAATCTAAGAATCTCAATATAATTTCGTGGTTATTCACTTTTAATTTTTTGGAAAAGGATATATATTTTTCTTTATTTTGAGGGATAACTTCGACTTCACCATCACAAAAGTTTAACGCGTGAACAATAAAATGAGCATCATAGTGACTAAGGTTGTGTAAAAATATTGGTATATAACGAGGTGTTCTGATCTTCGAACAACATGATTCATGAGCAACACCTATAAAACTACCAGCGTACCAATCAAAATCATAAAAATGTTTTGCCAACTCAGTTTCACAAATATGACAAATGGTTGCATTTGAAATTTGGTTTTTGTCTTCATTTGTTAGCGGAAGTGGTGGATATTTTTGAAGTCTATTTATTTCTTTTAGATTGTTAGATAAACTTTCCATAAACACTTGTGCACAGTTGGGTCCGCAATATGTTACATATTTTGATAATTTATCATCATATGAACATTTTATATAATATCCAAAACTATGTACTTCATGTTTCTGAATATTACGAGTGAAAGGTTTGGAAGGATCGTTAGAACATGATTCTATTGGTTTTAAAAATGCTTCAAAATCAGCATAAACTACGAATGGTATCTTTAACTTTTTTTCATAACTATCAAATTTAATTTTATCATTTGAAATAGGTTGACCAAACCAATTCTTTTTTTTAAAGTTTCACTGTTTGGTAATACTGTACAAATGTGGGCACAATCGTATTGTTCATGGTTATTTAACCTTTCCTGAGATGGCAAACGAAGTAGACATGCTTCACAAATGTACATGATGTGACCGTCTTTTGAAATTTGTTTACTAACTAACCGCGATAAATTTTTTATATAGCAATAATGATTTTGTGTATCCTTGGAAAAAAATAATAAATTGATATGTCTATCTTTACGACACTTTGTTAAAAATAATGGACCTAAATAATGGAACCGAATTACATCGTTCGAATTAGAAATAATGGACCGAATTACATCGTTTTTCTTTATTATATTCTAACCCAAAAACATTAATACTAATATCATTTAATTTCTCTACTTTTGCTATGTCAGAAATTTTAACCGGAAAGGAAATACCATCAAATTTAAGTTTATTTGCATGTTTAACGTACGATGATACCCGATCGGTGTGTTTGTTTACAGGATATAACGCCGAGAGTAACGCCCATTTAAAACAAAAATAATCCTTGTTTTTTACATTTATAACAGCCTTTTTTAATTTTATGTCACGAGGAAGATCTATGTATGAAGTACCGCGTAGGGGGTTAAATTTATTAACATTCATGTCTATAGATTTTATGTTTTTTAGACTCCATCCACTATCTTTTTTTTCGAAAGCACTAATTTTAGTAGTAATTGTATCATTTAAAGATGAAAGAAAAATATTTAAGTCATCTCCTTGACAAATAATATAGTTAAGCGTTTGAAAATCGAACGTATCATGAATATCTTTAGTTTGTTGAACAAAATCAGCATGCAATATGAAGTTTACCTTAAAAATTATGTGTTGATGAATACACTCTTGTAATAAAAATAAAATATCATCTTTAATAGAATTTAAAATAGTTCGGGAGTTTCAAAATTTACCCATGTCGAACGATCTACTCTACTCTTGATTTTATAAGTTAAAATCCTATTTCCAAAAGCAGATTCAATAACACTAACGTTTGATAAAGAATTATGTGAATTTAAAATTTACTATTTTTATGAACATTACTTTTAAAATGATTAGCTAAATACCGTTTCTTGATAAATATATGGCACGTTGGACATTCCACTTGATCATCGTTACTGATACTGTTCCCTGCAGAGGTATGCGCTTCTGCTTCCGTTGTCGGTTTTTTGATGATCTTGGATTCTTTGCTGCACGTTCGCTTCGTTCCTCTTCCAAGTTGTAGTGGTTGACTGCTAAAATGTTTAAATTTATTAAAAACTGTATAAGACAATATGTAAATTATGATCGAAATGAATGTTTATTTTACATACTTAAACTGTGTTTCAACCATCGCACAGTGATGATACAACTCATCATCGTATGACGAATCGAACAGTTGACCCCTCTCCATTTCTTCACAAACTTTAGACAACTCCTGATTTAATTCGCTATTGAATAGTTCCGTATTCTCTTCCATGATTGTGGAGAAAAAAGCACTGGTGCACACTTCACTGAAGTTTTCCCTTCCTCTTTTTTATTTTTGATTCAGCTTCAAAAAAATGATCAATCGATTGCGATTTTCTTTTTCCACCATCGCATGTGTTATTATTAATGACGAGGTTATCACTCTCTTCTTGAGGGGAGAGTGGCGAGTAGTAATACTGTTTATAGGTATCTTCATCGAAGCTCAATGATTTCTGCAACAACACAGTTATCATGTTAATATCAATTTGTTAACACTTAATCATAAAAGTTAAAAAAGTTAAAGTTACAGCCTATTAAAGTCCACTGCTGAACATAGGCCTCCTCTCATTTCTGAGAGGGTTTTATAGCAAGGAAATGTCCGCTGCGCTCCCTCAATGTGTGTTGGCGAACTTCACATGCCTTCGAAATTTTCTCAGACATGCAGGTTTCCTCACGACGTTTTCCTTCACCACCAAGCACGTGGTAATAAGCACTTAAAATTGCGATTAACAATTTAATTGGTGCTGGCGGGGATCGAACCCGGGTCGCGTACTGTGAAATTTACAGCTAGCGCTAACCATCTGAGTCACCACGGCTTAATCATATACATACACAATGTTTAAATAAAATAATACACACACATGAAAATAACAGAAAAAAAGTAATTTAGTCAATAGAATAAACACTTACATCCATAGCCTTTGGTGTATTGAAGTAACACAAATGTACTATTGATAGATCCACTGTAGTCAAACGACCGTACACTAACTCGATGACTGCGTCTGTTGGTCTTATATACCACCAGTACGTAAAAATTCTAATCTAAAGTATTTCCGTAATGAGTTGATAATTACTTTATGCGTCAACCAGTTTATCTCACATTTCCGTTGTCTATCTCAACATTTCTTCGTATTGTGTTTTGTTTGGTGATCAATGACTCAAGTACGATTTGTATAACACAAAAATGCAATTTAATATTTAGAAACATATCAGTTTATCTCACATTTCCGTTGCCTATCTCAACATTTCTTCGTATTGTGTTTTGTTTGGTGATCAATGACTCAAGTACGATTTGTATAACACAAAAATGCAATTTAATATTTAGAAATCACTATAATTGACCATTCCTATGTTATTCATTGAGTAGATTGGTACTGTAATAATCTACTAATAGCAGTAATATCATGGATACACTAGATGTACAACAACATCTGAAAAAGATTCACCCCAGTCTAGAAAATAATGTTTATGCAGCTAATAGACTGCCTATGTATACCCACGTACCAACGTATATAATATGTAATTTGGATACAGATGATAAACCAGGGTCACATTGGGTAGCTTTATATATCGATACGAATGACGTCGGTCAATATTTTGATTCATATGGACGATCACCTGTACGATATCATCTAGAGTTTTTAAAAAGGAATTGTAAAAGATGGAACTGGAATGTTGATAGGATTCAGAATGAGCGGACTTCAGTTTGTGGCGAATATTGCTTAATGTATTTGCTATATAAGTTTCAAGGATGTTCAATACATAGTTTTACGAGTATATTTACAAGGAACACATTGTACAACGATATTTTAGTGGATGAGATGTTTCGCTCCTATTTTATAGATAATAAGTAATAAGATTTTGTATTTTATAAATAAAAATTGTAACAAAATTATGTAATGTGTTTTATTGATGATTCAGATTAGCTTTGTATAATTAGGAACAAAGAAGTATAATACAATAGCACTGATATAGTCGACGCACACGCTGCAATGAAGGTGATTAATGAACAATAGAACAATAGAAATAGGAACAATGGGACGCTAATGACGGTGGAGGCCCTTACCGGATATCAATTAGATATTAGCTAATTGATCTACACATCTCCGGAACCGTGAATTCTACACAAAAATGGACCGCGGATTCGTGATCAGAGCATGCCAAAACCTTTTTTTTTTTTTTTTAGGATCGTGTGTCGACGAACGTCGTTGAACCACGTCTGACTCAGGTGGTCTAGAAGTGGTACAACTACACTACTGACGTTAGCTTTTAAGTGAGAATTTAAGTTCATTCGTTTTCGATTACTGCACGGACAGAACGGAATAATCTCATCTAATCCCAATGAAGAATGGAGGAATAGAAGTCGAGAAGTGAGGTTCCTGCGAAAAATCTTTAGAATTGTGGTAAAAATATGAGCGATAGCTTTTTGAGAAAGACTTTTTTTCCTGGAAATCAAAATTACAATTTGTTAATAACAAAAAATAATGTGTCTCAGATATTTTTAATAACTCAATAACTAAAGGGGTTTTGAAAATCGGAAAAAATATCCTTAAAGAGGAGGAAGTTAAAAAGATAATCCTTTCCATTTTGTCAAACGCTGTGGGCTGCGACAACGTCAGCCGCCATATGATCATTTATATCCTTGACCATATTCTTCCAGTTATTTTCCATATTATAAACTTTTCCTTAGATTCCGGAGATTTCCCGTCACTGTGGCGTATGACCTACGATCTTCCCTTGACCAAAACTTCCAACCTATATCCATTCATCCTTTCCTATCCAAAGTTCTTGAAGCCTGTGTACATAGGCTCTGATTGTTTATAAGAACAATTTATTAAGTTAATTTCAGTCTGGCTTCAGGCCCGAATCCCGCACTGTTTCCGTTCTTCTTATAATATTAGAGTGGGCATGGAGGACACCAAAGTCTAAAACACCTTTAATACCATCAGTTATGACACACTTTCTATCCGTTCCCATTCCATGATTCTCCCGAAGCGCTAGATTCTCTACTTATCTACGGGGACGTCAGCAATCAGTCCGCATCGATGAGTCTGCATCAAGCTGGTGTGACATATATGCTGGTTACCCTCAACATTTGTATTCTGTGTCCTTTGTTATTTTCAGTATTTATTAATCTTATCACCCACAACCTTTAGTGAGCATATCATCTATAAGCCGATAATCTACATTTGTATACAGGCAAATGTTGATTGTGTGTCTACCGCAGTGGATATGATCAACAGGGACCTAGAGCATATTACGTGCTGGTCTGATAGGTTCGGTTTAACTGTTAATCCATTCAAGCGTTAGGCAATAATAGGATCTTGGCTTAAACATTGAATCCATTTTAAACTGGCTTGCCCAAGTGATAAATGTTAGCCAGGAAGTAGCCCTGAAAGTACCCTGCGGGCTATTTACCGCCTGAAAAACTTTCTTCTATCCAGGACCAAAGCATTTATTGTTCAATCCTTAATTCTTCCCCTGATTGATTATGGTGATGTTTTGATTACGACCTGAATGCAGATCTTCTTAACAAACGTGATCGTCTTCTTGATAACTGTATTCGATTTCGTTTTCAATTTTCGTATGTATGACCTTGTGTGTACTTATTGTACCCAACTTAAGTAGCTACCCATTCGTCAGCGATGAAGCTTGTACGCACTCACAACCCTATACTCCTTTCTAATGTCTTTTACTCCGCCCTCTTATTTAACTTCTCATTTGCTGTACCTTTGCTCTAGCCATAACAGAAACCTGCGTTCTTTGAATAACCTTTTACTAAAGTGCCCCTCTCATAAATCTGGCTTCCAGCATTCTTCCTTCACTGTATAGTCTGTTCTCCTCTGAAACGCACTCCATCATGAAATTATAACGGTTAACAATTTATTAATTTAATTTAACATTCAAGAAGAAAGTTCGCGAACATTATTTAAGTAAACTGGCAGAATAATCTCAGTGTATTTATTTATGTATATTTAATGATGTATTTATGTAAATATATTATTATTTAACGTATGTAATTTATGTTATTAATATGTACATAATTTATACCTAAAACTATGCATGTATTAATTTTTTTTAATTTAAGTATGTATGGGTATATGTGTTATTTTGTTATAAATTTATATACTATAACTAGCTGTGCCCCGCGGTTTCACCCGCGTCATCACGTGTTGGAGGTGCGCGACATGACCTAGTTCAAGCATTTTATAATTGCAATTAAATATTTTATTTGATAGCAATGTATGGAAAAATTTGCATTGGAAATAATTAATGGAGTACTTTTATCTGTCGGCATATTATGTATGATGTAGAGCGAAGTTAAGTTTTATCTACCACACACACTACCACTTTCCTTCCCCCCTCCCCCCACGTCCCAGGAAGTGTCCCGAAGCGCGGTTTTTCCAGTTTTAAAGAAAACCGTACACGATACATGAAAAGTGTGTAGGCATGAAATGATTCTTGAGCTATCAAACTCTTATACTTATTAATCAATTAAATTTTCAAAATACCATAGCAACGTGAAATGAAAGAGTTCAGAAATAAGGATGTACCTAATCATTGTCATAAAGGTACTCAATTAATTTTTAATTTATTTTAGCTATAATGATTGAACTAACCTTGCTCATAGAAGCTTTCAATACTGGCTTCTCGCAGTTCTCACCGAGCGGCTAGGGTTTATGTGTCGTTTGCGCGCACAGCCAAGTATTGAATTATTTTAATTTTACATTATCTCTTAAACTATGCGTCCAAATAACATGGTATAAAGAACAAAGTTTATCTTCATAAAATTGTCTTGATGATGAAGTAACTTTCGTTCGTAAGGATAAATAGGCCATGCCTAATAATAACGCTCATAAATCACTTTTTAATTTTCAATATTTTTTGTCACAAAATACCTAATTATGGCTTATGTATAAGAGATAGACATATGGTATCGCGGACTTTTTTTTAGACGGAGTAAAGATCTATATTTTTCTAGAACATTGTATTTACGTATCCCTAACGATAACACCAGCGTACGCTGATAAATCATTTCGGGAGTGCTTTTCTTCTGACTTGCTTAACAAATATCCATATTTAAGGCTAGCTAAATGATATAGCTTAATTCTAGATAGCCTATACTATTCCACATGAATCTAGCTATAATATACAAAAAGAATTTTTCAAATCGGACTGGTAGTTCCAGAGATTAGCGCGTTTAAACAAACAAAAAACAAAAAAACTCTTCTGCTTTATTATATTAAGTATAGATTAGTATAGATTTACATTTCTGTCTTTTAACGTTTCACAGACTTCATATTTTTATCTCTGCGTCATCCAAAGGTTGTCTGGCAGAGACCGCCTCAGGCATTAAGTCCGCCCATACATCATATTGTATGAAGTTTAAATAAATAAATAATTTCTTAATAAAGTCGGAAAAGGTGTATGTAACGTTTCACGTTTTTGTGACATCAAGTAAATTGAATACACCACATCATAATAACTTTCACTCAAAAAATTACGCTCAGGTGGGGGTGGGCAGGTTTGGATACATGGGGCCCCCTTTTGCGCGGGGCCGGTAGCAATTGCTGCTCTTGCTACGTGGTTAATCCGGCACTGCTCAAGAGACTAGTATGATATTTGTTTTAATTGCTGTCGCTTACTCGAATATTATTTCCAGGGAGGGCGCGGCGAGGCGCCCCAGGAGGCGTGGGACGAGGCGCTGCTGTGGGGCGGGCGCGGCGAGGCGCTGCGCGTGCGCGCGCACCAGTCGGGCTGGTCGCGCCGCGCGCCCGCGCGCCCGCACGCGCCCGGCCTGCTCGTGTGCGCGCACAGCGAGCGCCGCACCAACTACCGCATGCTGCTACACGTCAGTACCTTGCACACTATCATTTTTTATCGTTCGAAGCCAGCGCTTAACTACATTCCCATCTGATGGCAAGTGGCGATGTAGCCGAAGATGGTGAAGCGCACTGACTTAACTAAAGCCTATTCACTCTTGCCTTGAAGACAACCCCATTGTAATTATTTTATAGAATAAGGGTGACAAACGAGCACACAGTCCACCTGATGGTAAGTGGTTGCTGTGGCCCATAGACATCTACATCTATCTTCATTTGCGAATTAAATTAAAATGCAGATGCGTTGTCACCCGTGAAAACTAAGATAGAATGCCTGTTTTCCAGTAAAAAGGGTCTCCGGTTCTCTACACTTACCATACAAAACACGGCAGCATTAAACTGCTATTTTGCGTTGGTATTCTGTGAGAAGGTGGTCCTTCCCCGGTCAAGCCGACCCATTCGTGCTACAACTATACTATTAATATAGCTGCAGCATAGCTCTACCACGTATAATCAGATTAAAAGACAGATTCTGACAACTTATTCCACTCCTTAGCTGCACGCATGACGAACGTTTGCTCGGAATATGTGGTAAGTCAACAACGAAAGTGTGAATACTGGTCGAACGTGTGGTTGTCCGATGGTAGAAGAGGGAGAAATAAATTATACGATTCTTGTACACACTCTCAGAAATTCACCCTGCAGAAAACCGAATAACAGGTGTCATTAAAGCCTATTTATTAAAATTCACTGCTGAACATAGGCTTCCCCCTTAGATTGTCTCATAGATGGGATATTTGTCATAGATAATACGCTTGGCAGGCGGATCGACAAACAAGAAATGGCCAGCAGCATCTTCCTGATAATAACTTAAAAAATAAAAAACTGCGGTCAGTGACGTAGCTAGTAGTATGCGAAGTGGGCCCTTGCTCACGGCCTCACACTTAAAGGGCTCTCGCGATGCCCCCAAACTGTACCACAGATGACTAATTATTTTGATAACTTTTACGCTCGAAAAAGAACGTCACAAATTTAAAAGCGTGTTTGTTTGGTGCCTCGCAAGGAGCCCCTCTTAAGAGCGACTGTGAGGCCGTTGCAACCACCTTCAAAGACCTCGACCGTTAGATTGACAGAATACGAGACTTGTCAGGAATTACTAGCTATGAGTAGGTACGTCGGTTCAAAGCATATTTAAAGATATATTGGGTAGATCTTGGGGACGAAATAAAAGGGTCTCGCTGATGTGACTTCGCCCAGGTCTATATTAGTCCACGCTACGCCTCAGACTGCGGTTACCAATCTATATGCCAAGCGTGATAACTATACTATAACATATGAAGCAATCTATGAAGGAGACCTTTGTTCAGCAGTGGACTTTCGATATGCTGTGTGTAAATGAATAGGAATCTTTAAAAAAAAACTTTTTCCAATGTTTTCTTCATTTTAATTTTCCTATTTTGTTAAATTTAAAGGCCCTGTCAAATTTTCTCGCAGGTCACACTATCGGAATTATGCCCTCAACTAACGAAGATCGTGACCCTCCTACCATATTTCCTTGTTTATAACGACACGAAGAAACATTTGCGTTTCATGGAAGAGAACGAAGCAGCAGACCTATGGATCGACCTAGCGCCGCAACAATGTACGCCGTTTTGGCCGCAGACCGATTCGATGTTGATGCATTGCAAGTACAGAGATTCTAACGTCGTGTCCCAGCACTTCCCGATAACTAAAAATCACTTCACCGTGCTTAGAATGGATAAAGGTGTAAGTAAATTGACTTATATCGTAAAATAATCCATATTAAAAACTAAGATGTGTATATATAATTTTATAGAAATAGTATATATACTGTTTTACAATAATTTTATTTTTCAATTTCAAGTACACAATTTATTTTACCCCGTTAATATGAACTCGTTTTCGTGTATGTCTGTGCGGATTGATTTTATTTTATTAATTTTAAGCTAACTTCCCGATGAGTTAGGACGTTACCACACCAATCGATCGATCGTCGATAGATGCCATTGATCGACGTCGATCGATGTCGATCGATTGATGAGGTAGCTTTAGCTGATCGACGGATACTGGTCGATAAAACATTGTTTAATCATCGATCGACAATTAATCGATGTGGTTGTGGGCTCCGTAATATCTCGAACGAGAACTTCATACAACTGAAAACAGGTCAGGTGGCTTGCGCTGGGCGCAGGCGGCGGTGTGTGATGATAGGGAGCGGTTGGTGGACCACGGCAGGTTCCCGAATAATCAAACAGCTCGATCGACGTCGACTAATCCATTGTATCATCGATCGATCGGTGTGGTAGAAACTATCAATCGACGTTGACTAATCCATTTCACCATCGGTCGATGCCATCGATCGATTGGTGTGGTAACACCCTCACAGACTTGAAATTTTAAGCATAGTAGTGGTAGAGTCACACGGCAGCTTTTGCTGTCGCACGGATGGGCCGGCTCGAACCGGGGTGGTACCACGACCTCACAATACCAGCGTGAAGTAGAGGTTTACCTCTGCGTTTCGCTTGGTGAGTGCAGGTGGCCGGTGGCCCTTTTTACTGGAAATGAGGCATTCCATCTTAGTCCTCACGGGTGACAACGCATCTACATTTTGTAGATGTAGATGTTTATGATAGATGGGTATGCCAGAAGAAGCATAAAAGTAAGTTGAATGCAGTGGAGATGCGATCTCTTCGTAAAATGTGCGGCGTTACCATGGCCGACCGAAAGCGAAACGAAGAGATTCGCAATATGGCAGGTTTGAAAGATGACCTTATCACAAAAATTGATAAGGGCGTGCTTCGGTGGTTTGGGCACGTTGAGCGAATGAGTGAAGACCGAATGGTGAAGAAAATATATAGCGCGAAAGTTAATATTAAAAGGTGTCGAGGTAGACCGAGACTAACTTTCGAAGACCATGTGAGCAAATTGCTCGAAGAGGGTAGGGTCAAAAGTACTCGGATACCTAGACGTGCATGCATGAAGAAGATAATGAATCTGAAAGAAGCGAAAGAGGTATGTAAGGATCGTGACACTTGGCGATCTGTTCTCTCTGGCTACCCCGTCAGGGATTGTGCGTGAAGATAAGTAAGTAAGTAAGTAAGTAGATGTTTATGGACCGCAGCAACCACTAACCATCAGGTGGACTGTGTGCTCGTTTGTCACCCTTATCTTATAAAAAAAAAATAGTACAGAATCGGACGACAATATAAGTACATATATGAAAAAAACGTGGTATATTAAAAAAATTAATACATAATTTTTATTTATGAATCAGTTGAGAAATACTTACGTAGTCACTATTACTTAATTTGTTGTAATACTTCTTAAAGGAAAATAATCATATTTCACCAATTTTTAGCTTCTTTTAGATACCAAACAACTTTATTAAATAATCCAGGCCTGGAGAAGGCGGAGCGAATTTATTATAATGCGGTAATTATGGTTTGTTGGTTTTAATTACCAATTGCTGGTTCAGAGTTATTAAGGAGATGATTTTAAGTAGATTATGGACTATATAATGTGATGAGAATATATTATTTGAGAATATATTATTTCGCGATACTGCGAATGTCCCCAAATTCGGGCTACAGGGCGGGCGTGAAGGAAGGCATGTGCACTCACCTGGACTTCCGCTGAGTTGCCTCGTATCTGCCTGTCTGTCAGCCCCTGGGGCTGTGTTGCACGTTGTTTGGATGACAGTTGTTTTCACAAATAACTTTCACAGATTTTCGCAAAATATAGAGTTATTGCAAATGTCTATACGCTTGCTGTTTTCTTGTACAGTTTAATATCTAAACGACGTGAGGCGATGAAGCGAGATATAACGAAGCGACCACTTGCGTGACACACGAGTTTATATGCTGGTCATAAAGGCGGTAGATAGGAAAACCCAGGAGTGGGACAGCATTCTCATTGGATAACAATTAACAAATTTCATAAGCGTTAGGCGGTAGTTGCAAGTGGCGCGAATAGTTAATTTAAGTTGTCAGTCGCTGTATAAGAAAAAGGCTGTGTTGATATCGATAAGATAGCATCACACATGACATTAACTTTCCATTGCTGGGTAATTAGTCCTACCTGCTGCTCCTGTATGTCTTGAGTCTTGGCCGACTACACATGTAGATTTCTACATGCAACAGCCATTGCAGACGATAGACATCTGAACCAATGATTTTGTTACCACATGCCCTTCATTTAAAACTAAGTTCGAATAATATCTCTGTAATTTCTTTATTATGTTATTTCCTTATAACTTTATTCAATAATGTATTCGATTGAAGGCACTCTGAACATATTTCAAAACACGAGAACTTTTAATTTGTGGGTAATATTTTTTGTACACAACAATTTTCCTCTATCAAATATACAAATTAAAAACTAAGTACTTAAAATTAAGTTAATAAATTAATAACTTAATATACACTCGCTGCATGAGAAAACCATGTTGGTCAACTTTATCCATATTTAGGTTTCGGTCGAAGTGGTCTCTCCAGTGACAAAGTTCCGTCATCGTGTAATGTATAGGCAGTACCTCTAGACTTGTGTGTCCAAATTTTAATAGCTTTTAAATGTGCATCACTTTGATCCCGATAGTTAGTTGTCGCTGGCGCGAATTCTAAGGGTGGGGATATCACGTCCGATGATGAAGGTGATGATGATAATTGTGGTGATTCTGGCGGTGTCTGATATTGAGTCGATGATGTTACCTGTGATAAAATGTTTCAAATTAAAGTAAATATTTTGTAAAAGAATTGCTCGTTATTGCTAACAACTGGAAATCACAGTATACGTTATGATTTCTTATATTTACGTGAACACGTTTGAATAAAACTCGTTTTACGGATTTTATCGCGTATATTAACTATAAATAATTGATATGAGTAAAGTAATTGATAATTTGGTTAACTATGACATTGGGACGTCATACGCTTCAGTACCTCCCCTCCTCCCCCGTAATCATGGGTGCTGTAAAGTACTCGAAACGTCGGGAATATAAAATAAGTTAATAACGCGATAAAATCCGTAAAACTAGTTTTATTGAAATGCGCAGTATACGTTTCTTATTTCAGTTATTATTCTTGTCATTATCATTTTGTATCAGTCAAATTTGATAGAAGATGATACCTAATATAGACACGCAAATTACTTTTTGTATGTACTGTTTTAATTATGAATCTAGTTTAAATATGCATTGTAATGGTTAATAATGGTATGACAAAATATTTTTTTTTATTAGGATGTTAAGCAAACTAAAAGTCTTGGCGGCTACGTGGCGCAGTGGCTAAGCAATGAGTTGCAACGATGAGGGCGGCGGGTTCGAATCCCGCACGGAACAAGTATTTGTATGACCTACAAATAATTGTTGCGGGTCTGGATGTTTGTCCTTTTGAAATTTATGTATGTAAACTCACGACACAGGCGAAATCCTAGTGTAGAGGTAACTCTTTTATTAACTTTAAAAAACTATCCGATGGCAAAGAAAATATACACTACGCGAACCGATGGTAAGTGGTTACTGCAGGTCAGGGTCATTTGCAATCAACTTTATAAAAACTTATATAGATGTATGTCACCTCTATAGAATAAGATCAAATACTTCAGTCTGTAATTTTTCTGACTCCCTCATCCTTTAAACGAGAAAAAAATTAACTACATTACAACTCGACAGTTCACATAATTAAGAGAGTGATACCAAAACAAACAGACTTCTAGACAGAAAATGAAACCCTAACATGTCGCCTAGTTCGTAATTTCCATCAATTATGTCAAATTTCATAATTTATGAAAGTGTGCTTTTAATCATATTTTAGTTTATGACGACGGCTTTTGATCATTACGATCAAAAGCCGCGGTAGTTCAGGGTATGTTTTTTTTATAGGAATAGGGTGACAAACGAGCACATAGTCCAGCTGATGGTAAGTCGTTGCTGTGACCCATAGACATTTATCCTCGTTTGCGAATCAAAATGCAGATCTTATAATATATTTACTTAATAAAGTGACTTATAATATTTGACAGATTTCATAGCGGGAAAGTTAATTTGTTCGGAGAATGTAAAGGTTATTGCTCCTTAATAATATTATATATTCATAAGATTAAAAATAAACCAAACTACAGATATTCATAAAAGTAGAAAAATTAAAAAAAAAGAAGTTAATAATGTGCAAAAAAATTAAAGAGCAAACCACTGACGCATTGTTTTGTGTATTAATTTAATACTCTAGAAACTGATAAACTTCTCAATTAAATAACATTGTGTAACAAAAAAACTTTACATCAGTGTCAACTAGCGACATCTGGTAAGCAGAAAATTATTAGCCCTCATTATCGAGTTGTATACTTACAGTATAATGCGGCACACTGTACGAATTGACCGAATGCAGTTTCGAATTGTAGTTCATGAGCGGTAAACTGCCGAAATTTTCGACCTTATATGAACTGGAATCAGCCTTGACGACTGTGGGGACGTTATTTGTAAAAGATGCGTCGTAATCTTCAGGTCTTAAATTCATAGGTGACGGCAAGAGTTCCTCCTCCACCACCTGGCTACCCGTGAATACATTTTGGCTTTTCTCGTTCCCCATTCCATTGAACTCCTGCTGGATGAAAGCGTCTACAACCGCAAACTGTTGATTTTGTACAGTCTCTTGAGACTCTAATGGACTTCTGAAATATATTTTATCGGCTCCTGCCTTATTTTGCGAATCACTTTCTAATACTCTGATTTCTTTAGACTGTGGGATGTAGTCAATGTTAGAATTTCGGAACTCCATGTTAGACGGTTTGTAACCGTTAGGATTTAAATAAGGACCATTAAGCGAAAATCCTTTTTCGTCATCAGCATCTTTGAAATTTCCTTCGTCGTTATTGTAAACTGGTTTTTTTAAATCAAGAGGTTTGTCGAAGTACATGTCTCTGTATTTTTCTTTCTCCATTGCAAATTCTACAATCTTATCTAAATCTTTTTTTGACAAATATTTTATTAGATTTTTAAGATCTTCTTGTTCTAAACCATCGTCAGATGGTCTTTTACTAAACTTGGACGGCCTATGGCTTGGTGGAAGTTGCTCTTCGTCGTCCATCATGTAACCTGGAGGTGGTGTATAGGAGATAGCACCATACACGGGATGACCCATCGGAGGTCGCTTATAAAACCTTTGCGGGCTGGAATAGTATTTTGCACGTTTAATCCTCACATTTTGAATATCAGGGCGGCATTCGTTGCATGGAAGCTTTAGACATAGAGCACCATTAAAAACACACGTTAATACAAACAAAATGATTATGCGCATAGTCGGTTTTTCGAGTCGCGTCGTCTGAAAACTGAGAGGAAGTGAAATTCACGCTAGAATCTTATAAGTGCCGTTTTGAAAGTTGTGTGAATTAAATTAGAGCCTCCCGCACGGGCGGTCAAAGAGCACATAATCATTACGTATGACGTTGTTGTGACGTAAATGAGACATTTTGCGGGATGGCTTTCAATTTACTGCCTTGAAAAGGATTGTTGTATTATGAGAATTTGATTGCCGTAATGCATTTAATAATTGAGTAAATTATGAAACTCAGTAGATAATACGTAATGCAGCTGTATTATGGTCCTAACACGAATGAGTCGGCTCGACCGAGGAAGTACCACGTTCTTACAGAATACCAGCGTAAAATAGCAGCTTAATAAACGAAGCATTCCACAGTAGTCCTCAGGGGTGACAAAGCATCTGCATTTTTACTTTTAATCGAGGATAAATGTAAATGTCTATGGACCATAACATCTATTTATGGACTGTGTGCTCGTTTGTCAACCTATCCTATAAAAAAATTCGCTTCCAATGGTTTAATAAGCTGGTTATTTAAATGGCTAGTAGCTATTTAGTTAAACGCCGGTTATCAACTGAATAATAATAAAAAAATATAACGCCAAAACACTGATGCCACATTCCTTTATTTTTTTTAACAGTTTTGTTTTTTTTAATGGTTTATTACTGTATTGTAAGAGCTTACAACGTTTTTGAAATTTAATGTTTTCAAAATATTATTTATTGATGCCTTGACCAGGTCAATTGGGGTTAGTGTATTGCGATGTGATAATGTGTATTCACATAGGTTTTTTATTTGTTGACTTTCACATTGGACTCACCAAATATATGTGAACAAATATTATGCAAGTGGTTAGAGATTTAATAACATTGCCCGCGTATACGTAAGGATGTTTATTTAAACAATTTAAGAGAAGATATGTCTTAACAAATGATATTAGCGATTTCCTGATAATTATGTGATGTGTAGGAGAAGTGTAGGGCATCCCCCCACTAGATGGAGCGATGACCTGGTAAGACATACAGGAAGTCGATGGATGCAGGTGGCTCAGGACCGTGCTTTGTGGCATTCCTTGGGGGAGGCCTATGTTCAGCAGTTGACTTGTGAGTGGCTGTAATGGTTATGATGATGATGTGATGTCCCACTGATCGATTACGTCATACGGATAAAGTCGATCCAAAAAATTCGATGTAGAAGTCGATGAAAAAGTGGAGCAAGATTGGAATATTACTTGGCTGTAACTTTAACTTTATACAGTCAGCAGTCTGCGTGGACGTGGCCGGCGGTACCGACCGTCCGTTCATCATCACATTCAAGCCTTACTCCAGCGGTGACGCACCGGTCCGCATAGAGAACCTCTGCGACGACTTGTTCCTCAAGCTGCACCAGGTGGACTCTGGACAGGTGGCTCTCCTCAGCCCATACCAGTCCATGCTGTACACGTGGGACGATCCGGCTAAAGACAGGAAGTTGCTATGGAATATATACAACAACAAAGGGAAGGGATTTGTTGCCGATTTTTCGCAAGACGGGTAAGGCGATAGATGTGCATTTATTACGCTGTAAGTATAAATAACAATCTGTGGCGTAGGGTAGTGAAGGAGAAGGTCATGTCTCCGGGGCAGTGCAAATGAGTGAGCTCAATCAGCTCCCTATATTATTTCTTTTTAATGATTCTAGTAAATACTTAAAAATCTGAAAATAAGCTGATAATACTTTTGTTAAAAGAGAATGGTATTGCAAGTAAAGCATTCTAACACTAGCATTCACACACACATATTATGCAAACACGTATTCGTTCATTCACTCACACACACACACACTTGTGTGTGTGAGTGACACACACACTTGAGAAGGGATAAGGTCTTAATCATAAGACTAATCATATTTAAAACTTACTGGTAAAAATTATTATTAGACATCAGTAACACAATACCCATGCCAATTGAGGAATAAATACAAATGCTGAAGTCACTACCAATCTATATTACGTCTGGTCCAAGAATCCAAGGCTTCCAAGATTTTGCTGAACACCGAACCACGAGGCAGTATTCAAAGAATAAAAGAATATGATATTCATTTTTATCCTCTTCATACAGCTAACACTATGATAATGACACAGAAATGTTGACTCGCCGCCTGGTCTTGCCTTGCTGTTAAAATCTATTAGAGTAAAAGATGTAAAATTTAATTAGCAAAGATTCGCGTAATATAATAATAATAAAGTTTGAAGAGCACCTCCCGTCCTTCCTTGAATTGCGTACACTATTCTCGTCACCACTAATCCCAGCACCAAACGTGGTAAAACGTGATGGTGGTTTTAAACGTGGTGGAGCCATGGTGCAGCTATATTAATTGTGTAGTTGTAGCACAAATAGGTCGACTTGGCCGGGGAAGGACCACGCTCTCACAGAATACCAACGTAAAATAGCAGCTTAATGCTGCTGTGTTTCGTATGGTAAGTGTAGAGGATCGGAAACCCTTTTTACTGGGAAAGAGGCATTCCATCTTAGTTCTCACGGCTGACAACGCATCTGCATTAGCACCACTACACTAGGAAAGACACACCACCGTCGATAATACGACACGTGTTTCGCATCTAAACGAGGCATCCTCAAGTGAAATAGACATACCTATTAAGAAAGCAAAGTAATTCCTGACTCTATTAGAGTAATCGAAGACTAAACGAGGCACTTACAGTTTAAGGATCAATTAATTACCTAATGTATGAAATTGTTTTGTCAATTTATTAATCCTTTATAATAATTATTTTTATTTTTACAGTTACGGAGAAGAAAAAGTGAGTTTTCATTCGGTGAAGCATTCAACCTTGGTTGCAACCAGTAGCGTGACTTCAAAATTGTCTTCTACCCTCAAACGTCTAACACCAAAGTCTCCAGAACCATGTACTTCTAGCAGCGACGATTCTGACAGCTTCGAGCTGCCTGAAAACCTCGCCAAATCGAAAAAGATGAGAAAAGATAAGGTGATCGTCTACTGGATATCTTACATGAACGGGTACCAAAGATGCTTCGCTCTCGCTCAAGACGAGAGAATTGCACAACAATATAGAATGATAATTGATTCAGAACGTAGTAATTATGAGGTTTATTTGTCCCTCGCTAGTGTCAGTTTATCGGTTTGTGTGCAAACAGGAATTGGTGTAAAGGAATTGGCTTATGTAAGTGTAACGGATTCACTACCACGCTGGGAAGTCAACGTTAGTAACAAATGGAAGCAACTTGCTCCAGATTTGTCTGCTTGGATAGAGGACAAGTATCAAACGGAGCAGAAGAAGTGCAATCTGAAAGATTATATTCACATAGATTTGGAGAAAATGCAGATGACGAAGCCGTTCTTTTCGGAATTGAGACGCACGTACAACCCTGGCGTTTGGATGCAACTACGCAAATCCGACACTCATTCGTACTGTCATCTTAAACTGCATCGGCTGCAAATAGACAACCAACTGCACGAAGCCGTGTTCCCCAGCGTATTGTACCCAGCCCCGTTGCCAGCTCATTTGAAACCAAAAGATGTGAAACCCTGTATAGAATTAGTGGCTTTGAAGCAATATGTGCCGACTATGAACCAAGATATTTACAAATACGTAAAGGTACTAGTTCAGGAGTTTAGCCTGAACTTAGATAGAGGCTTTGTCAACTACGTATTCGATATACTGAACCACTGGAAGGTGGAAGAGAAGCCAGCTGTGAGATTGCGCGCTGACTTGGCTTTAGTGCATATGCCGTTAACAATAATGGCCATTAAAAGTCAGACAAATGCGCAGAGAAATGTGATATTTGAATTTGTTCACATCTCACCATTAAAATTGGTTCTTAGTCTCTCCTCTCGAGGGTACGCAGACAGTGCTAGTAGTCCAAGTAGATCACATCATGGAAATCAGAAGGAGAACCGACCTAAGCTCTTTAATAGCGATTTATTAGAGTACTTATTTAACTCTTGGGGCTCATCACTTTGTGATATGAAGGATGTTGTGATAAGGTAAGGCTGATTTTATTTGTTATTGTCATCGATCACTAATAAAAAACTAGGTACAAAATCAGTGACAAAAATGTCCTTACCGAATGAGCGCTCGAACATTTGGTTGCGCTTTTAATTTGTACGTAGCTTTGTGAATACAACTTTAGGCAATGCTATTAAGGTTTAATTTACATTAATGCATATTTATTTCAACTAGAATTACGTCAAAACAATTGGCGACAGTTTTAGAGACCTTTTGCATGGGATTGTGTATCTAGTTTTTTGACAGTGATTCATGGTTATTGCTTAATATTTTTATATAAGTTTAGAAACAGTCTACGGCTGTGTACGTGATGGTGGTAGCTTTTGGATCGAACTCAGCCACGACACGAAGCTGCATGCATGTTATGACTGCAACAGAAATGTGTCGGCACTGCAACCAATAGCAGTGCTTGCATTGCTGTGTTTCGGTTTGAACAATAAAGAGGCAGTATGATTACTTTAGTATATATTATTTCATAATATATTTGTAAGGTTAGTCTATGAATATAATAGAGAGCACTCTTACCTATGGTAGAGGATGAAGCTGATTATTGAGAGACATGTGTAATTGTAGTTAACCTAAAAATGTGAACTATATAAAGAACTGATTTATATTGTTGTAATCTCTGTTGTTGTCTACCGACTTCAAAAAGGTCACGTTACTCAATTCGTCTGTATGTTTTTTTTATGTGTTACCCACGGAGCAAATACAAAGAGGAGACGGTCTAAGCAATTGTTCACTGTCATTCTAACTAGGTCCTGACGTAATCACAGTGGGCGTGGCTTTAGATAGCATACTGTCAGCGGTCGTCCTGTGCGCTTATGTGTCGAAAATCGCAAATCGGTGTATTTTCGTAGTATTAAGAAGTAAAGGATGAAGTGTTGTGTTTTATCGTGTAAAAACTACTCAGATAGACGCTCTGATGCTATGGATGGTATCATATTTCATTTGTAAGTAATTGTATACCTAATTTATTAAAATAGTTCTAGAAAAATTTCTGCGTCGGCTTTCAAATATAATTAAATATATTCGACACCAGATGGCGACACTCTGTGTCATAGGTATTAAATATATAAAGATACGTAGAGCTCAGTATTGGTTAAATAATCATACGAAGGTGCTAAAATTTGTTTTGCATTCAGTCCTAAAGAATTTTTAATCGCCAAAATATTATTTTTATAGTTTTATAATCATTTTGTGAATAGGCCGCCATCTATCGTCAAGATAGCTAAACTACATTGTAACATCGATATGGAACGATGCGAGTATTTTTACTATTTATCGGTAGATGGAAAGTTACGTGGGCGGGGCTTAACACCCCTTCACCCCGCAAATTGTCACGCGTTGTTACATAGTGAAATCTAATTACAACACCTCCTCTTTGTATTTACTCCATGGTGTTACCTCACAACTTTTTTCTGGGTGAACCGATTTCAATGATTCTTTTTTATTTGAAAGCTGGTGCTTCTCATGTGGTCTCATTTAAATTTTATCAAAGTCTGACCAATAGTTTTTAAGTTATTCTTAATAATTTATATTGAAGTCAGTTGAACAAAATTTTAAGTTTTAAATTATTCTACTTCTTTGTTTGAAGTTGGCAGCTGTTGGCTGTTGGTTTGGTGTTGTGGTTCATACATTAATTACAGCCCTCGGTTTATCAACCCTCAATAACAGCCTACAGATTGTCTCATAGGAGGGATATTTACCAATAGTTAGCCCACAACCGCGTTTAGTTTTTTTATTATTGTTGAACTGTTATCAAGATGAATGCTGACAGTATACTAACTAAACCCACACCCACTATGATGACGTCAGGACCTACTTAGAATCATAGTGCACTGTTGCTTATGCCGTCTCCTCTTTGTATTTGCTTCATGGTTGAACGAATTCGCTTATTCACGTCCAGGACACAATATATACACATAACAAAACTTTATATGCACTAGATTAAATGCGAATATAGTAGAGTTTATTAGGAATATACATCCTAAGACCAAGGAAGATAATATACTGTTTGTTAATGATAATTTTCTTTCAGAATGTCTTATTTGGAGTTAAGGAATGCTCCCATCACTATCTCAGCACTTCTGGACGCAGCGTCTCGTCACTACTGGATGCAGCTGGTGCAGCAGTTCTATGTCCTCGTGTTGGGTTTGGATATCCTCGGCAATCCATACAGCTACATCGGCGACTTCTCTAAAAGTCTAAAGCAGTATTATGAACCCTATTTGGTGATTGTCATTCACTTAATTATTTTCTTATATTTTTAAGTTAATTTTATGGTCATTAATATTTCCATCCTGTAAAATTTTACTGCAAGAGAACTCCTAAGTTTACTACTGAACCCTCCCTGATGTGTCGTTGATTGCACCCTCGATCTACTAAGTATCCACTTCGAACAATAGACACAGTTCCCCGCCATGGATTAAAATTATAGTCAAGTTTTCTGAAGTAAAGTTATTTCTATACGTTTGAATACTGATTTTGATAACGCACTTAACTTGAACCACATGTTTGTTACATGGTGTAATAATATATGGGTATGATGTGTGTAGGGAACTACGTGCGGGAAAAAATGTCCAGGATTTAACATTTATTTCGTTCTAAAACAAGCCACAAAAATTGACAATACTTTAAACTCTTTAACTATTAGTCATCATCATCATCATCATTACAGCCCTACACAAGTCCGCTGCTGAACATTGGCCTCCCCCAAGGAATGCCACAAACCACGGTCCTGTACCATCTGCATCCATCAACTTCCTGCATGTCTTACCATGTCGTCACTTCATCTAGTAAGGAGTCGCCCTACACTTCATCTACCGGTACGAGGCTGCCACTCGAGAACATTTTTCCCCATTGGTTGTGGATTCTTCGAGCTATATGGCCGGCCCATTGCCACTTCAGCTTACTAATCCGTTGGGCTATGTCGGTCATTCTAGTTCTACTGCAAATATCCTCATTTCTAAGCTGATCACGCAGAAAAACCCCGAACATAGCCCTCGCCACAGCTCACTGAGCGACCTTGAGTTTCCTCATCCGGCCAGCAGTGAAGAACCACGTCTCAGTTCCATAAGTCATCACTGGCAACACGCACTGGTTGTACTAACTATTAGTGTTCTGTGTATTTTTCTTTATTGTGCTAAGGTAAGATGATGTGTGTAGGGAAGTGCGTGCGGGCGGCGAGTGTCGTGCGGACGGCGGGTGCTCGGGGCGCTCGCCGCCTGCCTTGGGGACGCTAGCGCAGCGCTAGTGGACAAAGCACCGCGAACACGTCCTGTACGGAAGAGACCTGGTAAGCTAGTTCTTTAATACGACCACCAAGGTACTGTTTTTCAGTTGAATATATGTCTCGTGAACAATGAAAATCAGGTACAGCCCATCAGGTGGTAAGTAGTGGCGGTGTAAGAATAACTGAAATAGAAAATGGGAGGCAGCATCTTCCGTCACCGTCTAGTAACCTAACCCAATATTGCAGTTGTAGTTCGAATAGTTCGGTTCGACCGGTAAATACCACGATCTCACAGAATAACAGCATAAAATAGCAGCTAAATGTTGCTGTGTTTCGTATAGTGAGTGTAGAGAATCGGAGATCCTTTTACTGGTAACGGGGTATTCCATCTTAGTCCTCAGGGGTGACAACACATCTGATTTTGATACTTAATCGAGGAAAGATGTAGATGCTTATTGTCCACAGCATCCACGTAGCATTAGGTGGATTGTGTGTACATTTGTTACCCCTATTTTATAAAAAATTTACGAAATAATATTTATAAGTCTATAAAACTAATTTTATTTATTTATTCTATTCTATACAAAAACTATACTGTATAAAGATAAGGGAATATGATCATACCACCATATATCGGCCATTTAAACGCACGCAAACGCACAGGACAATGGACGGTAATGGATTACTTTACACTGTCATACACCAAAATCTCTACACATTAAAATCTAATAACTTGTTTAATAAACAAGTGTTTTTAACGGAGTATGGAACCATGGATGGACAGAACAGTCTCTTGATCTCCGAGATATTTGGCTCGTGATCGTCAATTATGTACGGTTCTCAGGTGAAGAAGGCCTCATCGTTGACAACTTGCCCGAGTCTGTACTGGAAGCTAACCGACGGAACCCGAGCAGCGTTGCTCTTGCCGTTACCGGTCTTATGGCCAGGCCCACTATCGGTAAGTTGTCAAAAATTATTGTATTAAAAATTATTGTAGTATTGTTGTCATACAACAGCGTACCATTTTAACTGCGCATGCGATCCTTCAAATGTGTAGTGTTTTCTTTCTGTGTTTGGACTTTACTGCTACTCTATTAGACTATAAACAATTGTTGAACGAATGAAGTAGTTCTTTTCCTGAGAGAAACTTTTTAGTTTTTTTACGACGTACATAAATTTACACATTTCAAGCACTTCTGTTCTTTCCAGTTTTTATTAGGCATCGTTATTTGCTACGCACTTCCTGTGTTAGTTTTCTAGCTCTTGTTTTTTCTCATTTACTTAAAAAAAATTACGTAGATATTTTTTACAAATAAGTAACAAGAACAAATTGGGGAATTATTTAAACATGTGCCTTATTCTACCTCAGATCAACAAAAAACGTGATGCCGAAACCACGCTCAAATTATTGTAAAAATGCACTCGCACCGCGCACGCTTAAGGAAGTACACTCATTTTCAACCAACAACATGTTTTAATATGCATATGTGTGTCCATTTCTGACCTTTTACGGGCTAATTATTAGTGATCGATGGGGCTAATAAAGAAAAAAAGATATGTGCGTAAGTGCGTGTGAAGGAGCATTGTTTTGGCGTCACTAAAATGTCAATATTTTGTTTTTATTTCTTTGTCTCTCTGAGTTTTGTAAAATTAGGTTCATTTAGATCGTGAAGCCATATTTGATTTCGTATACAGGCAATATGTAACAATATAACGATAACACAAACAAAATAAAAAGTAATATTTAATTAAATTAAATACATTAATAATTATTAAAATTACAGGCTGCGAAACATTTGATCTAAGTTGCAGAGGTTGCAGTTGCGTGGCTAAACCTAACAACGTAACTGTAACCTTCTTTTTCTTAAAGTTTGGTGCAGGTTACAGGTGTCGATGTGCTATAAATAAACGAAGTGGTTTTGGCAACAGTAGGCACTTAACATTGGGAGGAATGTTGTTAGCCCGTTTGTCCCTTATGTTAGAATACGCATGGCCAAGCATGGCTGCATGATGCTGTGAATTTTTGGTTAGTGTTCGTCCCAAAACTCATATCTTCCATAAAAGATCTTAAAAATTGTAGCAAATTATTAAAAGTATTTAAAATTTAGCATATAATAAGTTTACTATAGGTTAACTTGAAACATAACAAGCCACTAAATTAGATTTTAAAATACGTAATGACTTGTACATTTTATTCAGTATTTAAAAACTAAAAGATTATACAGCATGTTCTTATTTTGCATGTTTTAAAAACTAAACTTATAAAAAGAACGGCTCATTTAGTTTATTAGAATGTGTTTCTGTAAAGTACGAAGTACTTACCACGAACTCATACACATTTTCTCATTCCCTTCTACGTCTGTGCGTATGGTGTGGACCAGTAGATGAGGACTGTGCTATTGTGAAACGTAAGTAATTTAGAGCATGAGTAGTTTATATTAAAAAGATTAGTCTTTTTTGTTCAATACATAACGAATAAAAATCAAAGCATGATACGTATTGCTCGTGTCATTTTTAATTCATGTATATTCTTTAAAAACTACCAGTGACTACTAATAATGCATTATTTTCATTGTTCGGTATAATTATACTCAAGATTTTAGTTCTGATAAATAATGTGTTATATTAATTATAATATTTTGATTGATGTTAATTAATAGTAACAACAGTCATCATCTTGTAATTTATTTATAGCAGTATCAATTTAGTATTTTTATTAAATGTATTGTTTATGATTGAATGAGTAATATTTTTTTTTTTACTTTTACGATCAATGCTTTCTAAGATTTATGTATGAAGCCCAAAAACCTGTCTATTAGTATATTTAGTAAACCGTTATTGCATGTCCATTTTTTTCAAACTTAACTATTAACGTTTCGAGCTATTGTTTAATATCTTAATAAAGTTCCTCCGTTAATTCTACAACTAATCCATATATATTTTAGCTGCGTGTATGTCATATAGACTACAGAAATTATAGGTTTATGTATGACGCTCAATGCATTTTTAATATTTATAGATATATGTCGCGAAGCGGCACGTGCAGCTCTTTCGCCACAACTTGGCGTGGACAGTGCAGAAGCGGCTTTACGGGCGTTTGTAGAACGCACTGGTGGTCGATTAGTTGCACGTCGCCGTTTGCCACGCCATTGTCCTGTCACAGAGGTAAGAAATTGATATATTTATTTTTCTCTATTGTAGGAAAATTTCATTGTAAAGATTTAGTGGTTAATCTTAAACAAAATGAAGGATAACATTTAATGTAATATGTATCATTGTATATAAGTATTTAAAATTAGCTAGGTACAAGTGAAATAGTGTTAAGACTATTTTTCGCCAAGTAAATCTAAAGTTCCACCTCTTACATAATAACCTCTCCCCCCCCCCCCCCTCATGGAAGTGAACCTTGTCGTGGTGAGGAGGGAGCTTAAAGAGAGCAGATACTAGTACTAGATCTGGATATCTCGAACTAATACCCCAAGCGCGAGATACTAAACATTTAATCCCAATAACATCTGGGCAAATACTCTCTCTGAATCCATCATTCCCAACACAAACTCCCTAATGGAGCACAGTAAAAAGATGTATAACTTACGGCCGCTGCCCGGGGTCGCCGGAACGCACCTGGAGCCGGTGCTAGGTGCTACAGTTCGCGGGACACTGGTGGCGAGGCATTGAGCAGGCGGGCGTCCGTCACACAAAATGCTACAGCTGGTCGCCGTCAGTTGAACAAGCGGGCTATCAGCGTTGATGCTACAATTGAATTCCTCCGAGTATTTGACAAGTGAAACATCCACCTTGTCTTCACCAAATAGGACCGATAGTGTTGTGCAAGATGGCATTAATGACTCTGAGCCTGCACCCACTAACGGAGTTTCCAAAACGCTCAGTCGATTAACACCTGAAATGAATGCTTTTATACTGCGCACTTATCTTCAGTTAACTTTACTTGATACTGACACCAAAACCTACCTTGAATCACTACATCAGAAATTTATAGAGAAATACCCAAATAGCCGTGTAGTGGTGGTTAAGAATATCCACTACCCCATATCTTCCCGTGGGTGTCGTAAAAGGCGACAAAGGGAAACAGGCAGGAGATAGGCAGCAGCATCTTCCTGATAACAGCAAAAATACAATAAAAAAACTGCGGTAGCCAACCCGCTCGCCACGCGTGGCAACTATGGCAAATACCCCCCATATGGATAAAGTTACTAAGAGACGGCCCCCAGTCCCCGGCGGCCCCGCTATTCCTGGCTGCGGTGGCGACTATGGTAACGGCGGGGCAGGGGATGCTAAGAATCTCCGGTGGAGGTTCGGTTGCCACCTACGACGACTCGACCTGGCAACATACAACGCACGCACCCTGAGGACTGAAGAGAAGATTGTGGAGCTGGAAGAAGAGATAGACAAGTTACGCTGGCATATTATAGGATTACTCGAAGTCCGAAGAGAGGGGGAGGAAACGGTAATCCTCGAATCCGGCAACTTGCTCTATTACCGGGAGGGCGACCATCTGTCCCAAGGAGGTGTCGGATTTATCATCCACAAGTCTCTCGTTAACAACGTTGTAAAGATTAAGAGTGTGTCGACGAGGGTTGCGTACCTTATAATCAGAATCACTAAACGGTATTCGCTGAAGGTCGTACAGGTTTACGCACCAACCTCGGCACACCCCGATGAGGAGGTGGAGGAAATGTATGAGGATATCTCTAGATCTATGCATTCCTCCAAAACCTAATATACGGTGTTAATGGGAGACTTCAATGCAAAACTAGGCACAAGAGAGAATGGTGAGCTGAAAGTAGGGAAATTTGGAATAGGGCAACGGAACCCAAGGGGCCAGCAGCTGGCCAACTTCATGGAGAAAGAGGGACTCTTTATGATGAACTCTTTCTTCCAGAAGCGTCCCCACAGGAAGTGGACCTGGTCGAGCTCCGACGGTCCGATAAAAAATGAGATTGACTGTTCAGTGATGTCTCAGTGATCGCGAGGGTGAAAACCGGCAGCGACCACCGAATGGTTAGAGGCAAACTGAACCTAAACGTTAAGTTGGAGAGGTCTCGTCTAATGAAGTCAACGCTCCGTCCCCCTCGTGCTCTAATCCAAAGTCCCGAAACCTTTCAGCTCGAGTTACAAAACCGTTTTCAATGCCTAGAAGACTGCAATGAAGTGGACGATATGAATGACAAGCTCGTGGAAACTGTCCATGTGGTTGGAGCTAAGTTCTGCAAGACTCTCCGGAGAAGAACACAAAAACTCTCCGATCACACTCTTAATCTCATGGCTGTTAGACGGGAGATGAAGCTACATTCTTCAACAGATTTGACAGCGTACAGGCAACTGAACAGACAGATCTCCAAATGCATAGGGCGGGACTTACGCAACTTCAATACAGCTCATATTGAAGAAGCGATCGAGCGGAACCAAGGCTCCAAAGTCTTTGCCAGAGATCTGTCTGCCAGAAAGAGCCAACTGTCAAAGCTGAAGACAGAATGTGGCAGCATCGTTTCCGGGGCACCTGAGATTTTGAGTGAGATTGAGAGGTTCTATGGGCAGCTGTACACGTCATCGTTGGAGCCACACGCGAGTGTGAGTAATGATCCAAGAGCGAGTCTTATCCGACATTATTCCGATGATATCCCGGACGTCAGTCTGAGCGAGATTAGAATGGCTCTCCAGCACCTTAAAAACGGCAAGGCCCCAAGGCGAGGATGGAATTACAGCGGATCTTCTGAAAGCGGCTGGAAAACCGGTACTTGAAGTCCTTCAGAAGCTCTTTAATTCCGTCCTCCATGGTGGCATTACACCGGAGGCGTGGAGCAGAAGTGCGGTGGTCTTGTTCTTCAAGAAAGGCGACAACGCTGTCTTGAAGAACTACAGACCGATTTTCCTTCTGAGCCGCGTCTACGTGCTATTTTCGAGAGTTATTACAAATCGGCTCGCGCACAGAGTTGACGACCTCCAGCTTCCCGAATAAAGCCGGTTTCCGAAAAGGCTTTAGCACCATAGACCACATACATACCCTTCGGCAAATTGTACAAAAGTCCGAGGAGTACAATTTGCCACTATGTCTGGCGTATGTGGACTATGAGAAAGCCTTTGATTCCGTCGAAATTTGGGCGGTGCGGTGCTGCAGTCCCTTCAGCGGTGCCAAGTAGACTGTCGGTATATCAAAGTGCTGAAGTGCTTGTACAGTAGGGCTACGATGGCTATCCGAGTACAGAACTAGAGTACGAATCCTATCCAATTGCAGAGAGGTGTAAGACAGGGTGACGTCATATCCCCGAAACTCTTCACCGCTGCATTGGAAGACATTTTCAAGTTTCTGGACTGGAAAGGATACGGTATCAGCATCAATGGCGAGTACATCACTCACCTTCGATTTGCCGACGATATAGTCCTTATGGCAGAATCGCTGGAGGACCTAAGCACTATGCTCAATGACCTCAATAGTGTTTCCCAACGGATAGGTCTTAAGATGAACATGGACAAAACAAAGATCATGTTTAATGTCCATGTCACACCTATGCCGGTAGTTGTTGGGAGCACTAAGCACGAAGTTGTTGACGAGTATGTTTACCTGGGACAAATAGTCCGACTAGGTAAGTCCAACTTCGACCGAGAGGTCAATCGACGGATTCAACTCGGTTGGGCAGCGTTCGGGAAATTACGGCATATCTTCTCGTCAGGTATACCTCAAAACTTGAAAACGAGACGGTACAACCAGTGCGTGTTGCCAGTGATGACATACGGAACTGAGACGTGGTCCTTCACTGCTGGCCGGATGAGGAAGCTCAAGGTCGCTCAGCGAGCTATGGAGAGGGCTATGCTCGGAGTTTCTTTGCGTGATAAACTCAAAAATGAGGATATCCGCAGTAGAACCACAGTGACCGACATAGCCCAATGGATTAGTAAGCTGAAATGGCAATGGGCCGGCCATATAGCTCGAAGAACCGACAACCGATGGGGAAGAAAGGTTCTCGAGTGGCAGCCTCGTACCGGCAGGCGAAGTGTTGGGCGTCCCCCCACTAGATGAAGTGACGACCTGGTAAGATATGCAGGAAGTCGATGGATGCAGGTGACTCAGGACCGTGCTTTGTGGCATTCCTTGGGTGAGGCCTATGTTCAGCAGTGGACTTATGAAGGGCTGTAATGATGATGAAAATGACCCAAATATGCTAGTTAGCCGTCAAAGAGTAGGAGACCAATGTAGAGCTATAGTCCGCAATAAACTGATATCACAAAAACCATAGATAAGATTTATAAAGAAGTTAGAGAAGAGTTATACCATAATGCCAGACTCCCAACCACACATGAAATACAACAACAAGTTTTAGAAACACCTAACAGACAAGCGCGAACAAAAATGAGATGGACAAATGAGTAAAATGGGACTTTAATGAGATTGTATTACCAGATAGCTGAACTAAATACAAATAGAACGGCCTATAGAAAACAATTACCTGGAGCTTTCGTTTATACTTTCCCAACACTTGCTCATTGAATTGAACAGCGAATAGCCGGCCAAAGAAGAGCAATACTACATAATAAATATGTTAGTGATGACAAATTGAATGAAATAAAACAACAAGTAGCTACAGAACTGTCAATAAAGCTGAATAAGTCAAATTATGATCATACAATGCCTTATACGATTGAAGAAAATATACAAGACACTAATAATACTGACATTCCTTTTATAAACAGCACTGAGCAACTTGACTTGCTCCAGTTCGTATTGGCCGACTTCACAGGTCTTCGAAATGTTTTATTCCTCAGAGGATACCTTCATGAAGTTTTCCTTCATCGCTGAGCACGTGGTAAAAGAGTACTTGAAATTTCAATCACTAATCTCATCGATACCGGCGGGATCGAACCTAGGTTGCTCGCGTACTGTAAAATTTATGGCGATTGCTTAGTCCCTGATCTATTACGGCTCGGCTAATGAGTCTAAATCCTTCTTGTCGAAACTACATAACTTCAAAATATAAAAGGACAGTAGTCCCAATATAGATCTATGCCTCTTTCAGGGTCTTCGACCATATAACGCGTCAGCTGCACGAGGAGCGGCCTTATTAACCCAGTTGTCACGTGGCCACTACGCTGACACGGATGGATATGTAGCCCACGTGCATCTGGCTCGTACCTCACTCACTACACTGCTTGTTACTACACAGTCAGTATTATTAATTACATTCCTGGTTATTAATAAGTTTGTCAATTCAAATTATGCATTGCTGATGTTTTGGTCTTTTATGTTATTTCCTTTACGATAGTAATTTAACAGTTCTTTCTATCACGGGAAAAGGGGTAATAAAATAACACAGATTTCTCTGCTGATGGTGATAATGTACCCCTAGCTGATGCGGCGTAATTTTGGGCAGAGTACCTCCTCTCTCTCTCACTGTACTCTGATCTTTGATCCACTTACAATGATTTTTGCTTAAAAATATTTTTTTGTAATTTGATTTTTTTTTTATTTTAATTCCTTCACCCTTGTAAAAAGATTTTTGTTCCCTATAATAAAGTTAATATCCTTAATGTAGACATATATTCCTGGTGCGAGCCGGTGGGAGCACTAACTCTTGGCACATTGAGTGGGTGGTGAAACTTGACGATCTCATTGGAGTACCTACAGTGGAAGCGGATAAGCTAATCCTGAATATTAAACAGGTAAAAAAATTATTTAGAACCTTGTTTTGTGGCATTCCTTTGGGGAGACCTATATTCACCAATGAGCTTGTAATTATGATGATTATAACAAAAATAAGTTAATCTGGGAGTTTGGATTCCTTTTATAAATATGTTTATGAAATATTAATTTAAAATGCAACTTATTATAAAGTTTAAAACATTAGACATAAGAAGTTGCCTTGAGGTAGCGGAGTTTGAGAATCTCTCCCGTCCCGCAGTCATTGTAAGATGTGATTATGGGAATCGTCAAAAATATCTCCTGGCGTCTGATAAATTTGTTTATGCCAAAGATACTCTGATATCCAACGGGAGCAGCGTGCAGCAAAAGTGCAAGACTATTAACTACAATTGCTAATTCACTGGCTTTTTTTTTTGCTTTGCACTTCACGTCATTAGTCCGTTAGATGATCGTTGTCTACTGCATATTCACGAATCATCCGCTGCCAGTACATTTGCTGAGAAGCGTGCTTACGTGACCTTGCCCCATTACTGTTGCACTACCTGCGCCGCTATCTATCTTAAGACGGCTCTGTGGTGCAGTATCTTAGCAACGAGTTGCGGCCCACAGGATCAAATCTTGTACGGAACAACTATTTGCATGGCCTACAAATAATTGTTTGTGGTCTGGATGTTTGTCCTTGTGTAATTTATGTATGTAAACTACTTCCACGATACACGAGTAAATACTAATGTGGGAGTGACGTTTCAAAAAATAAATAAAAAATGTTTCAAGATTTTAAATCAGTTGTGGAGAGATAAAAGAAGAATATGTATAACCTTATATCATCAAATTTTACTTTTTTACGCAAGTGATTAACATGGGTGTGATATTTCAAGTTTTCAATTTCTTTTATCTACCGACTTCAAAACGGAGACGGTACTCAATTCAACTGTATGTTTTTTTATGTGTGTTACCTCATAATTTTTTACTGGATGAATCGATTTCGATGATTCTTTTTTTGTTTGAAAGTTGGTGCTTCTTATGTGGTCTTATATAAATTTGATCAAGGTCTGACCAATAGTTTTAGTCGGTTGTACATAATTTTTAATTTTTAATTATTTTCATTATAACATTATCAACCTTTCAGGATGAAATGGTCAATTACTTCTCAAATGACGAAAAAGTGATCGAGATTGCTGATCCTGAAGTATTATTGTGGCTTCAATCCAAGATCGAATGTGCGCTCATACATGCATTGGAAGATAAACGTTGCCCTTCGGAGTAAAGAGAATAATGTTTTTAAAAACAGAAAGTTAATTACTGATCATTATATTATATTGGTTACTTAAAAGTAAAGAGCATATTTTATTATTTAAAGTATATTTATAATATCTATACAAAGTTTAATTGTAAAATTGTTTTTGTTTTATTTATTTTTATTTAAAGGGTTTTTATTACATATAAAATAATACTATTAAATTAAAAAGCACATTAGACCTATAACAAATAATAATGAAATACTCTAAAATTTTTATTAATAACAAACTTTGAAGTTGTTTATGTTGCGTATATTATTATATTTCTTTTATATTTACTATTTACTATAATTAAATATTATTTTTTTAAATTTCCTAAAATCAGTCTTGTAGTAAAACTTGAAAATGTTTTTACTGCGCGGGTTTTTAACATTTAAAATTTAAACATAATTAGGAACTGTTGTTATAAAGTTGTTATGAAAGTTTTTGAACACATAAAAAAACTATGTTTTCTAAATAAAGTGACTGAATAATTACTACTTTATTAACTTAGCAATTGTAAGCAGTTTCAACTAAGAAAGCTTAATTTATGCATACATAGTAATAGTTTCAAATAAAACGTTTTAAACTTATTTATTTTTACAATCAGCCTGTATAATGTGCAAGTAAGATATTATTGTGTTAGTCATTAAACGTTTGCGCATTTTATAATTTGTACTTAGTCTATTAATATTAAGATTGTTCGATGCACAATTAATAATAAAACGCAATTATTATCTTAAGGATTTCTCGCATTAAATCCTATTTTCTGTTAAATTGCAGTTGTTTTATGTTTAGATCTTGATGTGATAAATCTTTAAATTTAAGCATCAAAAAATATAAAACTGGAATTAAAAATTATACCTATATGGTATTTAGTTTAAGGATTAGCTACATCATGATGATCTCTGTTTAGTATGTTTTAATTAGCCTACATTATATTTTGTACTTTAAGCGTCTTATTTGAATTAGAAAAAACTTCTCATTACTTGAAACTATAGTAAAAAACTACATATTTACATCTCTTCTTTTTTAATCATTAACTTTTACTATATTACCGTTTAATATAATATGCATGTGATAAAATACTTCCGATAAATGTGCTGCACATTATTTTTAACTATATTATACATTATATATGTGTATATATATATATATATACACATATAATATATATACATATATATATATATGTATATATATATATATGTATATATATATACACACATATATAATATATATATATATATATATATATATATATATATATATAATATTCGATATTATATAATATAATATAGTTGGGATTGCAAAAAGGATTTAATCGATGCATTGCTAATCATGTTATATATTTATATTGTATTAATAATATACAATTGGAACATAATAAATTAATAAATAATATAATATTTAATAAGAAATAAAATTTATTTTGGTACTATTATTCGTAGGTATATTACCTTAGCCCAACAAAGAAAGAAAGACGGAGAGCTGCTTACATTTCAAATGACGCACAAACCAAGCCAAAACCATGCCCAATTTATTATAAAAACTAGCACTCACGTGTACACACACATATGCCTCTAAAACCATTTGCAACCAATAATATGGTTTTAGGTGCATACACATGGGTCCAGAACACAACTCTTATAAAAAGTTAAAGATAAAAGAAGAAAGATGTGTGCATGAGTGCTAAGAAGTTGAGCACGGCTTCGGCAACACTTGAAACGTACGCAACACTCCTTCCATCTTTCTTTGTTGTTCTGAGGAAGGTAGTTACAATTTCTATGTTTTGGAAGAAAATTGAACCTCGATTAATATCCCAGCTAATTTATATATGCATGTTTAACATGTAATTGAACTTATATGTTAAACAAACCAAGCTAAGAATAATTTTTAAACCATTAAAACTGGATTTATTAATTTAGTGCGATATAACACTATACTTTCGTACTTGCAATAGCTAAGTTCAAAATCAAGAAGAACAAAACCTCAGTGTTCCACTGAATTATATTGATGTTTTATTACCATAAATAAATAAATTTTTTTCTTATATAAGTTATAAATAAATATTAATAACTATGTATAACCATTTATCTTATTAATTAGATATTATTTACTGTTTTGCAGATACAATTATTTTTATATTTTTAAGGTATTATATAATAAATTATAATAGATTCACTTAAACATTTGTGTTAAATGTATTGAACACTTATACATTGCTTTATATTTTTATAATACTTTTGTTGATACGGAGATAGTGTTAAGGATAATACCATAGATAAAATATAATAATACCATGTATCATTATACATCATAGATTACCTCCTAAGGGGATAATCTATGTTATACATATACAGTATAACGCCGATTATCTGAATTCTCGTAATTGGGACCGGGGTCGATTAGGATAATCGAAAATTCGGATAATCGGACATAGACTCGTATGTAATATAGAAAAACGAACTGTCACACATAGAATAAACTTTATTAAGTTTATAAATGGTTTTACACTTTATAAAGTTTTATAAAGAGTAAAACCAGCTACATCCATTTTTTTTACTGAACATTCGCGCCTTTTTACATGTTGTCACAATAGATCGTTGCTGCAGAAACCACGTAAAAACAGCATTCTCAAGCTGTTTATCCTTTGCCTTTTTCATTACTTTTCGCGACGAAAACCCATCACCAGTTTCCAACGCAGTCACAAAACTTAAAATTTTTTCACTGTTAGTTTTAATGTCAGTTAACCAAGTATTGTATAAGTAATGTAAGTAAGTAATGTTACTTACTGTACTTGGTTATAATTTTTTTTTTATATTACGCTTAGGACCGATTCGGATAATTGGTGATTCGGTTAATCGGCGTTCTACTGTACCTATATATAAAATTTCAACTGGCTAATCCCGGGTTGTTGTGGATGATCGTAATATACGTTCTCATCCAAAATCTTATCGCAGTGGATGCTTACGTCATAAAAGGCCACTACAGTTAGTTTCCGATTTTTACGTCTAGCGGTTGTATATAAATATATATCCGATTGCGGCCAAACCCGATTTCAGGCCAAACTAGTTTGTCCTAGGATAATCTAGTTTGGCCTAAATTATTTAGGCTTAACGTAACGTAAAATGTTTTAATGTACATATAGAAAAAATTGTAAGAACCCTTAAACAATTTAATAATGAGTGAGAATTTAAGACAAACTAAAACAGTTAAGACCAATTACAAAAACACACCAATACGTTGAGAATATCAACGTTTAATAAAAATTATTTTATTACTCAGTTCTGCATAGGCAAAACTAGTTAAACCTAAAGTATTAAGGTCAAACTAGACTGTCCTGGGCTAAACTAGTATATCCTGACATGCGTAGGATAAACCGATTTGGCCTAGGACAAACTAATTTGGCCTGAAATCGGCTTTGGCCGGTAACATATATAATAATGTTTTTCTAAAGTCTTAACATTACCGTGCGTTGCACCACAAACGTTGAACTGGTAATGTTTCGAAACTTGTCATACATTGTCGTATAAAATAAGTCACACAAGATGTTTTCTTGTTCCTTGCGTTTGCACTCTACGAAACTGTAAATTTTGCGACAGATTTTAAGATTTTTTGACAAACACACATACGGAAGAATTATATACTCGTATATAAAGATGATAAATGTTTGACATTTGGTCGGTCAAGTTTTACGTTCGCACTGATGACCGATTATATACCCTTTGCTGCTGTAAACTGATTAGTCTTGCAATTTGTTTTATGCTTGTTTTTGATGTTGTCCAAAAAGGTTGGTAAACATAGAGTTGATACATTTGTATCATACTATTAAATATATAAGTATCTGGCACTTTTCTATCTATAAAAATGAATGTTTCTTTATCCTATATGTATGTGTTCCTATACCATTTATCCAATTAAGATGTCACTTAGTGCGTTGTTATGTGCGCGCATGTGCGCGTCAGGGGATATAGCTGACAAAAATTTAATATTAGTTTGTTTGTTCTTTTTCTATGCGTTCCTTCTTATACTGTATGTGTATGTAATTTTTTTAATGTTATTTACGTTATATCTGTTTAAATATGTGTAAAATAAAGATGCGATTCAACTTACCTAAAAATTCTACGATGTTATCAAATTTTCTAAAACTATGTTTATGTTAAAATAGTTATAATTTTTCGACATCCAGAGTTGTTGATCTCTATTTGTTATATATAAGAAAAACTTAGATTATAATCTATAATATGTAAAAATTGATGTCTACATCGAAAACTATTAAACTATTGAGTAAATGTTTTCTAATAAAGGGTATAAGCAAATAAAACTAAATTCAGTATAATTTATAGTATTATTTTTAACTAAGAACCAGAGTAACCAATATAGCCCAACGGATTAGTAAGCTGAAATAAAAATAGGCCGGCCATGAGCTATATGACGTGCTTTGTGGCATTTGGGGGAGGCCTATGCTCAGCAGTGGACTTGTGAAGGGCTGTAATGATGATCAAATTTAAATAAAATATTTATATTGAATAAAATTATCGTATCCAAACCATTCTTAACAATCCACGTTTTCATATCTTACCGATTTATCGACCACCTTGAGTCAATCCATCAATCAATTTTTTTTCGATAAAATGACTTTACTTAAGCTTCGGTCACACACAGCGAATATTCGCTGCGAGCGTATTCGCTGCGAATATTACTCGCAACGACAATTCACTGCCTGCCTGTCACATACAGCGTACAGTACTACACGAGAATCATCTATAATATGTATCTTTTATATTCTTAAATTTTCTTTTCAATTGCTCCTTAGTTGCTATTTCGAATCCTAACTCAATTAATTCGTTAAACATTGAAGGCAGCTCCCCATTTTTCTATACACACCCAAGAAACAAATTATATCGTAATTTCCCCATTTTAGAGAATCGTTTATCGGTTAACTCATTTGATTGACCTACACATACGTATCATGCAGCAACGAAAC